AGATCGGAGGACAGCACCAAGCCAACACTACAAAGGACTGTCTATCTCAAAGCCAGTTCCTTCAACTATAATATGGGGATAGTAATAGTGCCCATATCATAGAGTTGGTGTCAAGGGTAAATGAAAAAAATCCATAGACTCTTGTCGGGAGCAGGTGTGATGTGGGGAGCAGAGGAGTGCTGTCACTTAGCAGACCTTGCATAAAGGCCCCAAGCAAAAGGAAGGTCTGGCTTGATAGCTCTGCATCCTAGCCAAAGGCAGGGGATGCAGCCTGCTACATGAAAGAGCCTCTCAGATGCCTGCACATCTGGGTACATATAGTACAGATAAAGCCTGAGCTACAACAAGATAACCGTGTTTAAGTAGCAACAAAATTCCACTATAGCTCCCTCACAGACCATGATTCCTTTCCAACTTTCTTTGTGCTTAATTATAAAATAAATATGCTGAGCTAGTTCGGGGCCACTTCTCTTCTATCAGAGGAAAGTGTCCCACCTGGCCCCAGCTTTTCTTTATGTCTCTGTGTCTGTGTCTTAATCTCTTGCCCTGCTCTCAGGACCGCCAGTTTCTATGAGATAACAATAGCTTTTTGGGGAGGAGGAGGAGTTTCACTCTTGCCCAGCAGACTGGAGTGCAATGGTGGAGTCACGACTCATCGCAGCCACGAACTCTTGGGATCAGGTGATCCTTCCACCTCAGCCTCCTAAACTGGGACTACAGACACATGCCACCACACCCAGCTAATTTTTGTTTTGTTGTAGAGATGAGGTCTCGCGGTGTTGCCCAGGCTGGTCATGGACTCCTGGACTCAAGTATTCCTCCTGCCTCAGCCTCCCGAAGTGCTGGGATTATAGGCATAAACCACTGTGCCTAACCTGAATGAAAACTCTTTGGAATCATCACAAACACAATAGAAATAATAAAATTATATGTTCATTGGTAACATAAAGGTTAAAGATCTATTTAGGATCCCAAAATATTAATCTATTTTCCAACAGAATTGAATTATTCACTCTTAAATTCCGTGCTTTAACGATCACAGAGCAGGCTGGGCTCGGTGGCTCAGCCTGTAATCCCAGCACTTTTGAAGGCTGAGCAAGTGGATTGCCTGAGCCCGCGGGTTTGAGACCAGCCTGGGTAACTTGGCAAGACCTAGTCTCTACAATAAATTTTTAAAAAAATTAACCAGGCATGGTAGCGTGTGCCTGTAGTTCCAGGTCCTTGGAAGGCTGAGGTGGAAGGATTGCCGGAGCCCAGCAAGTCGATGCTGGGGTAGCCATGGGTGTGCCACTGCACTCCAGCCTGGGCGATGGAGTGAGACTTCAACTGAAAAAAAAAAAAAAAAAAGTGTATATATATATATATATATATATATATATATATATATATATACCCAAAAAAAATCACACAACAATAACTTGATTAAGAACAAACAGAAAAAGCAGCAAAGGCAAATCAGGTAGTACATTAATTTATTTTAAATTATAACATGGAATGTGTCATCAAACAAATAAGTGTAATGAAAAACCTTTGTAATTGAAAATAAGCAGATGATTTGCATAGGAATTGCTAGTTTTAGCTCTAGGATGCAGAGCTGAATTGCAGATTCGATACATATACAAACTAAAACGCCAGTTTTAAAATAGCAGACCTTCTCTGTACTTTCTTTGGTAGGTGATCAATCATCTTCCCTGCTACAGATAATCTCATCTAGATCAAATTTGATTCTTCTGAGCTAGACACCTCTTCCAGTAAGAGGACCTCCACAGTTTTAAAGCACCTGGGCTTGCTTTTATGACTCATATTGCTCAAGAACGCTATCTATGTCAAACAATCTAAGTAATAAGCCAATGCCATGTTTTGTGAAAAACATTAAGCTTGTGACTCATCACATTTTATCTTTTGGAACTTCGCTATCAGTGTCTATAACAGTCTTATATCAGTGATATATAATCCTTATTTTTGACATAAGGGCTAAAGGGCAAAACACAAACTATTTAAGGCCATATTATTTTCCTCTTCAAAAAGAATATAGCTTTTTGAAATTCTCTTAAGGGAAAACGTGTATTTATACAACTTTGCTGAAAAAAACATCAATGAGAAAATTGGCATTGCTTTTTTTTCCCCCCTCCTTGAGACAGGGTCTTGTTCTGTCGCCCAGGTTAGAGTGCCAGTGGCACAATCATGGCTCACTGCAGCCAGAACTCCTGGCCTCAAGCGATCCTCCAACCTCAGCCTCCCAAAGTGCTGGGATTACAGGCATGAATCACTATGCCTGGCCTGCCACTGCTTTTTAGCTTCCAAAAATGTTAACGTCTGGGTGTTTTAGCAACATAGAACTTTCTAATCTTTTATCCTGAAGTAAGATCGCAGGATTTTGGGATAGCTAGTCAGGCTGTCGGCACCTCTGGGGGCTGTAGGCTGCTTGTTACTGGCTTTACCTATGATATCGATAAAAATAAACTGATTTTTATTGCACTGTTAACATTTTAAGAGACTATCTTCTAATTTCAAAAATTATATTCTATTACTTACTGACTTTAAAATAATGCCTCTAGTACCACTGCAAGTTGATTAAGCAAAAATTATTCTGGAATCCCAACATTTCCCTCCATCTTGACCTTTTTTTTTTTTTTTCAGCTAGAGTCTCACTCTGTCACCCAGGCTGGAGTGTGGTAGCACACTTACAGTCACTGCAGACTTGATCTGCTAGGTTTAGGTGATCCTTCCGTCTCAGCCTTCCAAGTAGCTGGAAGCACAGGCATGTGCCATCACACCCAGCTAACTTTTTTATTTATTGTAGAGATGAAATCTCACCAAATTGTCCAGTCTGGTCTCAAACCCCTGAGCTTGGGCAATCCTCTCGCCTTGGCCTCCCAAAGTGCTGGGATTACAGGTGTGAGCCACTGCACCCGGCTCAACATGTCTTTACATAGAACATTGGCTGGAAACCAGAGCACAACATGAACAAGAAAACTAAAGATGTGTTTAAATAATAGAGATTCCATCAGTGTTTATTATGGTAGATTATAGGAAGAAGGTTTGATTTTTGTGTGTGCAGTTAGGCACTGACTGAGAAATTTAGACACCGTTGATTGTAAAGTGCATTGGATATAAATTTGATTCTCCTTCAAAGGAATAATTAAATAAAACTCAAGTTTCTTTCTTGGAATCAATCATCCCAAGAACATGCATAGATGAACACTTATTAAATGCTACTAACAGTATTTTATTGTTTATACTCCTGCAATAGTGATAGCAACATGTTGTACTTGCATATAACATATTTCATCCAGAGATCTCTAAGTCACTGTATCAAGCAACTTGGTGTAGGAAAGTCAAGATACCACAGCACAGTAGGTCTACTTAAAGCATGGGAAGTAGATTCTCAACAGTAGAATCAAAGTTAAAGGCTGGATGCTGTGGCTTATGCCTGTAATCCTAGCACGTTGGGAGGTTAAGGTAAGAGGATTGCCTGAGCCCAGGGGCTCAAGACCAGCCTGGGCAACTTGGTGAGACCTCATCTCTACAATAAGTCAAAAAATTAGCTAGGCGTGGTAGCATGTGCCTGTGGTTCCAGCTACTTGAAGGTTGAGGTGGAAGGATCATCTGAGTCTAGGAGGCTGAGGCTGCCATGAGCAGTGGTCATCATGATTGTACCACTGCTCTCCAACCTGGGTGACAGAGTGAGACTCCAACTCAAAAAATAAAAATAAAAAATGATTTTTTTTTTTTTCTGGAGTCTCACTCTGTTGCCTAGGCTGGAGTGCAGTGGCATGCTCACAACCACTGCAGTCTCTACCTGCTGGGCTCAAGTGATCCTTCCACCTCAGTCTTCCAAGTAGCTGGAACCACAGGCGTGCGCTACCACTTTCAGCTAATTTTTTGGATTTATTGTAGAAATGAGGTCTCGTTAAGTTGCCTAGGCTGGTCTTGAACCTCTGGGCTCAGGCAGTTTTCTTATCTCGCCTCCCAAAGTGCTGGGAATACAGGCATGAGCCACCACACCTGACAAAAGAACCAAAATTAAAGATCAAAGAGAGAAGCCTCAATTTCTTGTGGTTTGTAATTTTCCGAACTTCCAAATTTGCCATTGGTATCCTGATATACCTACAATGTTGACTCTAAGTAAAAATGATTTTTAAGCCGGGTTCGGTGGCTCAGGCTGTAATCCCGCGCCTTTGGGAGGCTGAGGTGAGTGGATTGCCTGAGCCCGCGGGTTCAAGACCCGCCTGGGCAGCGAGACCTCATCTCTACAATAAACAAAAAAATCAGCTGGGCGTGGTAGCGCAGGCCTGTAATTCCGGCTAATTGGAAGGCTGAGGTGGAAGGATCGCCGGAGCCCAGCAGGTCGAGGCTGCGGTGGCCGGGAGCAGCCACTGCACTCCAGTCTGGGCGACAGAGTGAGACTCCAACTCAAAAAAAAAAAAGATTTTTATATGTCAGGAAAAAGATGAGGATCAACTAACAAACAAATGCAAAACATGTCTTTTCTTTTTTATTTTAGAGACAGGGTCTCACTCTGTCACCCAGTCTGAAGTTCAGTGGTGCAACATGACTCACTGTAGCCTCAAAATCTTGGGCTTAAGTGATCCTTCCACCTTAGCCTCCCAAGTGAGTAGCTGGGACTATAGGCATGTGCCACCATGCCTGACCACAATTTGTCTTTTCTGTGGTACAACAGTCTATCTTTGAATAGCACATGGTGGAATGTTGGAAGTGACTATTTATTTACTTATAGATACAGGGGTCTCACTACATTCATTGCCCAGACTGGTCTCTAATTCCTGGTCTCAAGCAATTCTTCGCTTTGGTCTCCCAAAATGCGGGGATTACAGGTGTGAGCCACTGTACCCAGCCAAGGAAGTGACTTTTTAATAATGTAGGTTTTAATGTAGGTTTATGCCTCATTGATTCATAAAAATCATGGCTAAATCCTTGGGTGGAAGGAAACATTTTACACGGAGTGACATATATTTGCACATCAAATAGGATAAAAGTATAGCACACCTACATTTAACACAGAAGTAGAAGTACATGGATTCACTCCCCCAAGGAACAAAGCTGTCTGTCTCCTTGCTTAGTACTGAGAACCCTGCCCTGTCCATCTTAGAGTTTGACTGAGAGACCCAAGTTAGCATAGTTGAAAATGAGTTTCTGAGGAATCCTGGAATTCGAGAGCATGCCAGGCTCCCTGGAGCTGAGTTACAGGGCAGTGAGAAACCCATGGTAAAGGGGAAAGGGTCCCTGAGTTGTTCTGGACCCAGTGAAAGAGCACAGTTCTTCTTGTGAGGGACCCACAGGATGGGCATTCCAGGCATTTTCTTTCTTAAAAGAATTTCCAATCACTGCAGCCTCCACCTACTGGGTTCAAATGATCCTTCCACCTCAATTTTCAAACAGATTTCTTTTTGGACAGCGTGGATAAGGCTTCTGTCTTTCTGCCAAATATGGACCTAAATTAGTTCTTCCTGGGATCTTCTTTACTTCGGAGGAGACGCAATATACGTTCATTTTTGGTTAGTTCTGCCGGAAGTTCATTGGCCTGAAAGAAGATGAGATGGGTATTAGCAAGTTTCCACAGCTGGTGCATTTTTGGGGAGCCCCCCCCCAAGGAGGGCCACCTGGCCCGCATTTTCTCCTTCACTAATGAAAATTCCCCACTGGACTCATTCTTGTAAAAGAAGGCATTAAAGGTCTCCTTTAAGCGTATCCATGTTACTTGCAATTTTCTTATCTCATCGTTAGAGATATTTTTCTATCCAGCCAGATCTCTTACTAGACTGCAATCTCCCAGTGAGCAGGACCCAGGTCTTATTAATCATTGTATTTTCATCTCTAGCACAATGCCTAACATGTGCCTAATAAATTCTGGTCAAATTAAATTGGTATCTTATATTTAGTTTATTACATGAGGTGGTCTATCTTTTAGGGACTCAGGATTCAGCCCAGATATCTTTTGATGAGAAGGCAGGGTTAGGAAACATCTAGACGATAAGAGACATCTGGGAAAGAACAGCTTTGGTGGCTACAAATTTCCACCTGACCCAGTCTTACTGTAAGTTCTTTTCACATTGCTGTTGAGACATACTTAAGCCATTAGTGAGCCAGCCCCCACTACAGGCAATAGGTGTTTTGGGGCAGTGGTTCTCAAACTTTGTGGTCTTAGGACCTCTTTACATTCTTAAAAATTATTGGAGACTCTAATACACTTTTGTTTTGAACTTACTAGCAATAAAAGTTGAGAACATTTACAAATATATTTTAAAATAATGTTTGACAATACTATTTAAAAATAATAAACCTGTTGTAACAGGCTAAGAAGTGATCATTTTGGTTATGTAAAATAACCAAAATAAATTTTTTTTTTGAGTCAGAGTCTCATTCTGTTGCCCATGCTGGAGTGCAGTGGCATGCTCATGGCCACCGCAGCCTCAACCTGCTGGGCTGAGGCAATTCTTCCACCTCAGCCTTCCAAGTAGCTGGAACTAAGGTGTGTGCTACCATGCCTGGCTTATTTTTTGATTAATTGTAGAGATGAGGTCTCACCAAGTTGCCCAGGCTGATCTCCAATCCCTGAGTTTAGGTAATCCTCTCACCTTGGCCTTCCAAAGTGCTGGAATTACAGGCTGAGCCGCTGAGCCCGGCCAGGTGCGTTTTCTTGAGATCATCATCATACCTCAGTACACAGCAGGAGTGTTTTAGGCATACTTGCCATTTTGTCATACAGAACTTTAAAAAGATGTGTAGCAAGGGTCAAGATTTAATTCAATTAACAATTTTACTGCTTCACTGACAATGTTCTTAAGTAAAACTGGTATTTTGGTAAAAAATAATTTATAATATAACTTACAAAGGTTTGTAAAATATTTTGCCAGCATAGCTAGGTACCCCTGCTTCCACGTGTATGAAGGCTCCAACAGTTTCATCCACCATTAGAGCAAATGTCAGCCCAGTGAAAATCAAGGCAGATAATATCTTTGTATTATTGAGAATATTGTCTTGGTTTCTTCGAGCCTCTGAAATGGACCATGAAGACACTCCAGGGTCCAAGGATCATGCTTTGAGAACTGTTGTAACAGAGGAATCAAAAGAATGTTTCAGTGGGGCACTGCGGTTTATAACTGTAATCCCAGCACTTTGAAGGCGGAGGGAGGAAGGGGGATTGCTTGAGCCCAGGAGTTTGAGATCAGCCTGGACAACATAGCAAGATCTCTCAAAAAAAAAAAAAGGATGTTCTGGGAATTTCAGGGGAGACTGTTAAAGGTTAACAAGGCACACAGAAAGGAGAATGGGGCTTGGCTGTAGGTGTTAACTGTCACATTTTTTTTTTCTCCTCCAGACAAGCCTGGAACCACAGCTGCTTTATCTGGACCTTGATCCTAGATGAAGCGTCTGCAGTTTTACCTTCTAGGCTGGATCCTGCTCCCTGACCCCGACCTGCTGCCCTCACATTGGGAATTATGAGTTTGCCACAAAGGGTCTGCTGTGCAACGTGTCCTGTAGCTGTACCCCTGCCTACCACAAAGGACCCCGATGCTGATGCTCGAGCCAATCAGAGAGGAAATTGCTATGCTATGCTACCATAGACGAGAGGCCCTCCGTGGCCAAATTCTGTTTTTTGTATTGTATTGTTTTTTGAGTCAGGGTCTCACTCTGTAGCCCAGGCTGGAGTGCAGTGGCACGATCACAGCTCACTACAGCTTTCACTCCTGGGCTCAGGTGATCCTCTCACTTCAGCCTCCTGAGTAGCTGGGACTACAGGTGTGTGCCACCATGCCCAACTAATTTTTTGATGTTTTTGTAGAGACGAGGTCTCATTTTGTTGCCTAGGCTGATCTTGAACTCCTGGGATTAAGCATTCCTCCCACCTCGGCCTCCCAAAGTGCTGAGATTACAAGTGTGATTTGCCATGCCTGGCACAAATTCTAATATTAGGTTAGTTCCTGCAGGAACAGACACTGGGCAGACCTAACACCTGGGCCTGCAGAAAAATACTCCTGGTAAACAGACCTAAGCTTGATCCAGTCTCAAAGTCAATAGGAATAACTGAGCTATCTGTCTCAGTTTCTGGTCCATGGTGAGCAGGCTGGCAGGTAGCAAGAGGATCCACCACATCCAGGAAGAAGGGAGCTAAGAAGCTGTGCCTCTGTCAGCCACTCTGGTGACTTGGTGTTCTGTGTAGCCATCCCATGAATGCCCACATCCTTTGCTCTATACCCTCAGATTGTGTTGTCAAGATTCAGTCAATCACACCATTCTGTGTGTCATCCATGTTGTTTTAAAAACCTGATCTCATTTCTCCCTGCCTAGGAGTCCCATGGAATTCTCAGGTTGCTGAGGTCGTGTGGATTGATCTGACGGCTGGCACCCCAGGTCAGCCCTATCAGCCATCTTATTTATCGTGGAGGACCGTGGTCCATATTCACGATACGACAGCATCAATCCACTCTGTTTCCCCCGCTGTTCCTGGATACGATGTATTGTGAGAGCTATGTTGGGGGTGCTAGGAACACAAGACCCCTCTACCCAGGGTGGCTATAGCATGAGGATTGGCTCTTGTCACTCTACTGCAACTGCTTTTTTGATCGTTTTATTCTCCCACTAAACTCTGAGCTCCATGAAAGCAGAGACTGTGTGAATCTTATTTACCATTGTATCCCCAGCACATAGCAAAGTGCATGGTATCTAGTAGGTGCTCAATAAATGTTTGTTGAATGAATGAACAGAGGCCAAGAATACCCCTTCAAGAGTCCTTGGTGGCTGCTGAAATCCCAATACCCTTCCTTCTGGAGCTGCCATTAAAAAAACTAGAGCTGGGCGCAGTGGCTTACACTTGTAATCCCAGTACTTTGGGAGGCCAAGACCGGAGGATGGCTTAAGCCCAGGAGGTTGAGGCTGTGGTGGGCTGTGATTGTGCCACTACTTCCAGCCTGGGTGACAGAGTGAGACCCCGAATTAAAATAAATAAAATAAAATATAACATAAAATATAGAATAACATAAATAAAATAGAAGACTGGCTTCTAAGGGGTGGCCAGCAGGTGGCTTCCCTGGCTGCTCCTCCCAGATCCCCAAAGGCATCTTCAATGAGGCTCCAACATGAGCACTCACACACATACTTAAGTAGTTCTAGGGAGGGTCCAAAGTCCAGCATTCTGCCCCCTGGAAATTACCCATAACCCATTATTGCTGATGGCTATTCCATTCTTCTAGGAAACACACAAGGAATTGCTTTTTTCAGTTTCTATATAAAAGTACTAGCTGGGCATGATGGCTCACGCCTGTAATCCCAGCACTTTGGGAGGATGAGGAGAAAGGATTGCCTGAGCTCAGGGTTCGAGACTGGCCTGGGCAACTTGGTGAGACCTCGTCTTTACAGTAAATAAAAGAACTAGCCAGGCAAGGTGGCACACGCCTGTTGTTCCAGCTACTTGCAAGGCTGAGGCGGAAGGATCCCCTGAGCCCAGCAGGTGGAGGTTGTGGTGGCTGTGAGCGTGTCACTGCACTCCAGCTTGGGCGACAGAGTGAGACTCTGACTAAAAAAATAAAAATAAAAATAAATAAATACATGTACTGTTATTCCTCTCTTGCCTGAATTCAGGACCAGAGAGTTCACCAACAAAGACCCATCTCTTTAGGAACTCTGTGTACAAGGTCTAAAGGTAAGATCTAGGCATGGTGGCTCACACCTGTAAGCCCAGCACTTTGGGAGGCCAAAGTGAGAAGACTGTTTGATCCCAGGAGTTCAAGACCAGCCTAGGCATCTACCGAGACCTCATCTCTACAAAAAAATCAGAAAATTAGCCAAATGTGGTGGTAAGTGTCTGTATTCCCAGCTACTTGGGAAGCTGAGGTGGAAGATCACCTCTGAGCCCAGGAGGTCAAGGCTGCAGTGAGCCATTAAAAAAAAAAAAAGAAAATATCTAAAGAAAGGTCATGGTGATTTCAATTGGCTTATCACACAGTCAGGCAGCTAATGGAAAATAAATTCACATATCTCAGAGAGATAAGGAGAGTATCCTCAAGCAACTCAATGGTGAGATGGGGAAATAATTCTCCTCTTGCTAAGGAAAGTAAAAAAAATGGCTCTTGGCATGTTGTCTAATTAGTACTTCTTAATAACTTCTTTTCAAAATGTCATGAAATACTGTTTTTGTTTTTATAATTTAAAAAACATTACACAAATTATGCAATTTAAAGAGGAAATATAAAGTGCAAGTTGTTTTTCATATCCCTCTCTCCATCTTATAAAAAGAAAATAAATTATAATAAAAATATATATTTTTTTTGAGTTGGAGTCTCACTCTGTTGCTCAGACTGGAGTGCAGTAGCCGCTCCCTGCCACCGCAGCCTCTACCTGCTGGGCTCCGGCGATCCTTCCGCCTCAGTCTTCCAAGTAGCTGGAACTACAGGCGTGCACTACCAAGCCCGGCTAATTTTTTGATTTATTGTAGAGATGCGGTCTCGCCAAGTTGCCCAGGCAGGTCTTGAACCCGCAAACTCAGGCAATCCACTTACCTCAGCCTCCCAAAGGTGCAGGATTACAGGCTGAGCCACCGAGCCCGGCTCCCTCTCTTGGTCTTAACAAGCCCTGATACCACTTCCTCCTCCAAAAGCTGGTCGTTTCGTCCATTTTCTCCAGACCTTTCCCAAGTTACTCGCCTCCCCTGCACTTGTTGGCAGCTTAAGCTGAATATGAGGAAGTACAGTGACAATCTTTTTTTTAAAAAATATTTTACTTTTAGACATAGAGATGGGGTCTTGCTATATTGCCTAAGCTTGTCTTGAACTTGAACTCCTGGGCTCAAGCGATCCTCCCACCTCAGCCTCCTCAAGTGCTGGGATTACAGGTGTGAACCACTGTGCCCAGTCAGACAACCATTTTTATCTGTTGTTATTGTACACCTTCCCACCTCCAAGTTTGGCCTGATTGTAAATTAAAGAGTTTGAAAAAAATAAGGGCCTGGTTTTGTAACAGTGCTGTGTACTCTTGTTAACAATATAAAGGTAGCATTTTCCCAATGTAGTCACCAAATATAGCACAAGCAATTCTCAAGATATGAAAGACCAACTTATGGGGATGGTGGTAAACTGCCAGAACTGTGACATTTTGGAGGCACATCTTTGATGATAGAACAATACTTAGTCCCATCATGAGCCCTCTCCCCCATCCCCACACCCCCGCCAGAAGGCTGCACCATTATTGTTATTTAGTTAGTTAGTTAAGTTGGGGCTTCACTCGGTCACCCAGGCTGGAGTGCATAATCACAGCTCACCACAGCTTCAACCTCCTGGGCTCAGGTGATCCTTCTGCCTCAGTCTCCCAAATAGCTGTGACTACAGGCACACATCACTAAGCATGGCTAATTTTTTGATTTGTTTATAAAGACAGGATCTCGCTATGTTGCCCAGGCTGGTCTCCAACTCCTGGGCTCAAGCAATCCTCCCACCCAGGTCTCTCAAAATGCTGGGATTATAGTCATGAGCCACTGTGCCCAGCCTGCACCACTGTTAACTGCAAACGACTGATAGATAATACAGGGTTTTGTGTACCTGTACAATTTCCTGGGTCCAAGTATATGCTTATAAGTACTTACTAAAAGCAACCATGCATGTTCTTAGGGTTATGGTTAGAATGAAGGTGTTCATTCTGGCTTAGGAGGGTTCTGAGAGGGGCCCAGTGGAGTTAATGGGTAGGTTAAGTGGGTACCTTGTTTCTCAGGGATGGGTCCGCCCCTGCTTCCAGAAGCAGTGCGACTGTTTTAATATTCCCACTGAGCACTGCCGCATGGAGTGCCGACGTCCCGTTCTAAGAGAAAACAATAGTGCGTGTCAGGAGTGAGCTCACAGCCATCAGCACATAGCCTGGCTTTCATCATAAACCATCTAAGTGATGAGGCAGACATGTCAGAGCCTTACTCTTGCTTCTCTTGCTGCGTACTCTTTTTTTTTTTAAAGCTGGAATCTCACTCTGTCGCCCAGGTTGGAGTGCAGTGGCATGCTCACAGTCACCACAGCCTTGACCTGCAGGCCTCAGGAGATCCTTCTGCCTTAGCCTTTCAAGTAGCTGGAACCACAGACGAGCACTACCATACCTGGCTAATTTTTTGATTTACTGTAGAGATGAGGTCTCACCAAGTTGTCCAGGCTGGTCTCGGACCCTATGGACTCAGGTAATCTTCTCGCCTCAGCCTCCCAAAGTGTTGGGATTACAGGTGTGAGCCACTGCATCCAGCCTGCCGCGTACTTTTCAAAGTCCCATCAGTACCCAGCATAGTGTACCCAGGTACACAGCCCACAGTTGGACTAAATATTGCTAAAGCTCCTTTGCAAGTGAAACAAGGCATCTGACCCAGGGGGCACATGACTACATGGTCACAAGAAACAGACAAGTCTGTTTCTTTCTTTCTTTTTTGAGTTGGAGTCTCACTCAGTTGCCCAGGCTGGAGTGCAGTGGCACACTTACTGCCAACCTAGTGTTTACCCACTGGGCTCTGGAGATCCTTCCGCCTCAGCCTTCTAAGTAGCCAGAACTATAGGCACACACTATCACACCTGGCTAATTTTTTTGATTTAGTGTAGAAACGAGGTCTCACCAAATTGCCCGGGCTGGTCTTGAACCCGCAGGCTCAGGCAATCCTCTCGCCTCAGCCTCCCAAAGTGCTGGGATTATAGGCTGAGCTGCCATGCCCGGCCGACAAGTCTGTTTCTTACACTGCTTTTGTTTGTTTGTTTTTGAATCTGGGTCTCACGTTATCACCGAGGCTGGGGTGCAGTGGCATGCTCATGGTCACCACAGCCTTGACCTCTTGGGTTCAGGTGATCCTTCCATCTCAGCATCCTGAGTAGCTGGGACTACAGGCGTGTGCCACCACACCCAGCTAATTTTTTTTTTTTTTTTTTCTGTAGAGACAAGGTCTCCTTATGTTGCCCAGGCTGGTCTCAAGCTCCTGGGCTCAAGCAATCCTCTTGCCTCAGCCTCCCAAAATGCCTGGGAGACTTGGACAGTTTCTTATACTTTAGAACTTACTGAAGAAAAAACAACAGTGCTGTGCCAAACATTTTTGTTCTTCAAAGGCCACACATATAGAGTCTTTGTACTTTTGGTAAACCACTCCCAGTAAGGCTATAAGCCACATGGGTGACATTGCATGCCAGCCTGGGAGACAGAGTGAGAGCTGCTTAGCTGAGGGTCTGCCCTGTTAGACAAGCTCCAGAGATACTCTGTCCACTCAGACGGTCAGGAGAGTGACCGTGGGGGTTATAGGACTTAAGAGGAAGAGTATTTGGGGTGAGGCAATACCCCTGAGCACTGAGTTGGAGCATTCTGAGCACAGAGGGACTGTAGATGGGTTCCTGATGTTTGCAAAATCTACTGCAGATACTTCTTGAAATAAGGAAGGAGCTATATGCAGCACATAACCGGATCTGGGAGAAGAGAGGAAGAGAATATAGCAAACTAATATAATAACAATGGGACCGGGGATGGAGCACGGTGGCTCACATTTATAATCCAGTGCTTTGGGAGACCAAGACGAAGACTGACAAGAGGATAGCTTGAGGCTGGGAGTTTGAGACCAGCCTGTGCAACATAGTGACCCTGTCTCTACAAAAAAAATATAAAAAGTAGGCAGGTATGGCGGTGCATACTGTAGTTCCAGCATTGGGAGGCTGAGGTGGAAGGATTACTTTGAACCCCAGAGTTTCAGACTGCAATGAGCTATGATTGCACCGCTGCACTCTAGCCTGGGCAACAGAGTGAGACCCTGCCTCTAAAAAAATAATAATAATTTTAAAACAGGGAAGTCGGAATTCACTTTTATAGATGGTTTATTCTTACTTTACAAGCAATTTTAACAAGCATAGCTTTCTGGCTTCCAAAGTTCATGGAAGATCAGAAGTAGCTCATGAGGACGGGGGAGAGGAGGCAGCACATGACAATAGCAGTTCTGCATTAGCTGACAGCAGGAGCAGGAATAGTCTAAGAATATAAAGAGCAAACACAAAGTATCCCAAAAAGCCTCTGGGGCCATTCAAGGGCAAATTGATTTTATTATACACATGGATAGACTCCAAGGGCACAGCCCCAAATCTGCTGAGCCACTGTGTTCATTTAATAAAACAGGACGGTATATACTAGGGGTCGGAAAACTTCAGCCAGGGGGCAAACTCGCTGCCTGTTTTATGTGTCCTGTAAGTTGAGGATTGTTTTTATATATTTACTTCTCAGCGATGAGAGTCTCATTCTGTCACCCAGGCTGGAGCACAGTGGAGTGATCATAGCTCACTGCAGCCTCAAACTTCTGGGCTCAAGTGAATCTCCCACCTCAGCCTCCCAAGTAGCTACAGGTGAGTGTCACACTGCCTGGCTAATTAAAAAAAAAAATTTTTTTTTTTTTGGTAGGCTGGGCATGATGGCTCATGCTTGTTATCCCAGCACTTGGGAAGTCAAGGTAGGAGGCTTGATCATGCCACTACACTCCAGCCTGGGTGACAGAGTGAGACCTAAAAAAAAATTTTTTTTTTGGTAGAAATAAGGTCTTGTGATACTGCATAAGCTGGTCTCAAACTCCTTTGCTCAAGCGATCCTCCCAAAGTGTTGGAATTACAGGCATGAGTCACTATGTTTAGCCTGTTTTTACATTTTAAAATTATGTTTAAAAAGATTAAAAGAAGAATGTTTTGCAACATGTGAGAATATGAACTTCCACAAGTACAATGTCTGTAAATAAATAAAGCTTTATGGGCATGTAGTCACTTTTTTTTTTGTATTTTCTACGGTTGCTTTCAGGTTACCATAGCAGAGTGGGGCAGTTGAGAGAGACCTTCATGGCCCACGAAGCCTGAAATATTTACTATCTGGTCCTTTACAGAAAAAGTGTGCTGACCCCTGACACATACTATAGTTTTGGGGCTCTGTTCTCTAGGTGACCAGGTCTCCAAATTGACATGTTTTCTAAGGCTTCTCAGCAGGTGTCTCAGGCTTATTTTATTTCACTTAAGGTATCAAAACAGAGTGGATCTATGCTCAAGATAATGAAGAGAAGGAACATCAGTGTCTGTTCTTCTTCCTTGATTTCACAAATCCTTCAGATAACATCAATATGGTTCAATTTCCAATTTAGCAATTTCATTACTACCATCTAATTGTTTTTTTTCCCCCTAGGAAAACTAGGTAGTGACATTCTGTGATTCACTCTTTTTACCACCTTCCCACTTCTGCCAGTGCTCATGAACCTCCAGTGTCAAGAAGCTGTAGGCGTGTTCTCTTTTTCTTTTTTCCTGTTTTATTTTTTTTTTAAATGGAGATGGGTCTCACTATGTTGCCCAGGCTGGTCTTTAAATCCTGAGCTCAAGCAATCCTCCTGCCTCAGTCTCCCAAAGTGCTGGGATAACAGGTGTGAGCCACCACAGCCTCTTTCTTTCTTTCTTTCCTTCTTTCCTTCCTTCCTTCCTTCCTTCCTTCCTTTTGGAGATAGGGTCTCACTATGTTGTCCAGGCTGGTCTCCCATACATTACAGACAGGATTACAGGCATGAGCCACCATGCCCAACCTTGGGTTCTTTCAACAACACAACTAACCAGGTTAAGTATACCCAAATTCTACTCAGTCCCCAAGTGTGGACTTCTTATTTTCTAACCTCTCTCTTTTACAGATTGGAAACATTTGTTTTTAGGTCTTACCTTCAAAATACCAAGAGTAGGTGAGAATTTAAGCAACTCCTCAATAACATCATTATACCCATTATTGGCTGCTTTCAATAATGCTGTTGTGCCATCCTTAACAGAAAGAGGAAGATAAAGGTTGATGATTAACATATGTCTGTGTTGCCACATGATCTCACTTATATGTGGGAGCTAAATGGTCATAGAGATAGAAATAATAGACACATGGGACACTAAAAGGGGGGAAGCCGGCAGGGGGGTAGGTTTTGAAAGTTACCTCTTGGAGGATAGCTCGCTTACTATCTGGGGAATGGGCCACTGGTGAAGTCTGATCCCCACCAGTACACAATATGTTCACATAGCAAACATGGACTCCTGAATCTAAAACAGAAACCCAAAAAACAACAACAAAAAATATGTCTGTGTTGGCTGAGAATGAAATGTCAATTGAGAACTGGGAGAACTGTTGTCAGAAACAAACAAACAAAAAAATGTGTATATTAAGCACAGATTAACAAGGCTTCTTAAACTAGGAGAGCATCTTAAACAGTTAATTCTGCATGAAATTCTGCATTAGATAAAATATATGACAATTTTTTCCATTTTTTAATTAAAAACTTTTTTTTCACTCATAGTTCCAGTTGTAGAAATGTAGGTGTGAGGTTGGAGTGAAAATGTGTGACTTAATGTTATCTTAGAACCCTGCCATTTGGGAATTCATAGTCTTTTAGTCTCTTAAAACACTGGATGAGGGACAAGGGGAATTTCAAGAACATATGAGGCGGACCCCCAAAACCCTGTAATTTATTTATTAAAAAATCATGTATTGGCCAGGCACAGTGGCTCATGCCTATAATCCCAGCACTTTGGGAGTTAAGAGGATTGCCTGAGCCCAGGGGTTGAGACCAGCCTGGGCAACTTGGCAAGACCTTGTCTCTACAATAAATCACAGAATTAGCCGGGTGTGGTGGCCCATGCCTGTGGTTCCAACTACTTGGAAGGCTGAGGTGGAAGGATTGCCTGAACCCAGTTGGTTGAGCCTGAACCCAGTTAGTCAAGCTGAAGTGGCCATGAGCATGCCACTGCACTCCGGCCTGGGTGACAGAGTAAGAATTCAACTTAAAAAAAAAGTTTATTTATTCTTACATGTTTAAACTTCAGTTACCTTCAAGGTACTCGGTTTGTTGCAATACACCTATCAAAATACTTTATAGTTTTTGAACTCACCAATTTTGATGACTTTTAGTGCTTCTGTTTTTTTTTGTTTGTTTGTTTCACCTCTTCCACATCAGCAAAACATTTCCCTTTGAGGACTTTTTTCATCAGGGAAACACACACAAAAAGTCTATTGCCGTGAGATTGGGTAAATAGGGAGGGTGAGGTACAGGGGTCATGCCATATTTGGTCAAAAACTGCTGAACACTCAGCACAGTGTGGGCAGGTGCCTCATCATGGTGGATGAACCAGTAACCTGTTTGCCACAACTCAGGATGTTTGTTCCTCAAATTGTGATGCAGCCTTCTCAAAATTTCCAGATAAAAACTTTGGCTGACTGTTTGATCCGAAGGAACAAGTTCCAAATGTACTACAAGGGACCCACCCTCCAAAAGATAATTCTGGTTTTTGGGGGGTCCCCCTTGTAAATTTAGGGCACTGATGGATCAAAGAGGCATTCTCTTCCTTTCTTGACTTGGCATGAATTGTTTAACTGTCTTCAATGGTTTAAGTGATTGCTGAATTGTATTTACTGTTTTAAAGCCTGATGCAGCCCTCCTGCCCTAGGTGTTTATGTGTGTGGGTGGTAGAGGGTGGGGACGACATGGGAGACAGATGGATATCTGCTGAAAAAGAATGAAAACTCAGCCGGGCTCGGTGGCTCAGCCTGCAATCCCGCACTTTTGGGAGGCTGCGGTGAGTGGATTGCCTGAGCCCGCAGGTTCGAGACCCGCCTGGGCAGGCGAGACCTCATCTCTACAATAAATCAAAAATCAGCCTGGCGTGGTAGCGCGCCTGTAATTCCGGCTACTCGGAAGGCTGAGGCGGAAGGATCGCCGGAGCCCAGCAGGTGGAGGCTGTGGTGGCCGGGAGCGGCCACTGTACTCCAGTCTGGGTGACAGAGTGAGACTCCAAGTCAAAACAACAACAACAAATGTATAGTATGAGTAATAAAAAACCAGTTTATTTAAAGTATGTACATCCTACATCTTTTCTTCTACCCTTGGGGCAACAAGGTGCTAGGCTGTCATTTTCTTCCATGCTTGGAATGGCATAGTGCTAGGTTCTCACCATTTCAGTTGGATAATTTTGAAAGTTTAACATATTGCCATCAATTTTTATAGGGAGCCAAAGTCATATTATGAAAAAGAATATTAGGCTAAGGGAAGCATTTAAGACACTTTTGTAAACAGTGTAAAAAGGAAGGAGGGGAATGCAGAAAATCAATCCATGACTTTTCACCATTTTAACATGATTGTTAACATTTTTATAGCCTTCCAGTTTTTTTTAAGCATAAGGTTTTATTTTATTTTTAATTTTATTTTTAATTTTGCTCTTACAAAATTTTAGTTATATTCTGCATGTGCTCGTTGAGTTTTCCAGTTTGCCAATAATTCTGCTAAAAGGTTACTTTAAATTTTCCAGAGAAAGACTTTGTCCTTAAATTCTCACAGTACTCTTAGGGGACTATTTACAACCACCTGCTTTTTTCTTTTTCATTTTTAATGCTTTTTTTTTTAACTGTGGATGAGATTGTGTGCTTGGTGCTGGGGATACAAACAAGAAAAGATGTGGTCCTTATTTTTTAATGGAGAGAAAAACTTGGCACTTCAACAATTAAGATGCAATTGTATGGTGGAGCTGAGTACAAAATATAAGCAGAGATGCCACCAAGAGTGATGGCCAGGCTCTGTGTGGGGAAGTGAAGGAAGGAGTAA